CCCTATTTGGATACTTTTAATTCCACTTTCCTGTCTGATTGCTGTAGCCAGGACTTCCAGCACTATGTTGAATAGAAGTGGAGATAGCGGGCAGCCTTGTCTGGTTCCAGTTCTAAGTGGGAATGCTTTCAGTTTTTCCCCATTCAGTATGATGTTGGCTATGGGTCTGTCATATATGGCTTGTATCATTTTTAGGTATGTCCCTTCTATGCCTATTTTCTTAAGTGTTCGTATCATGAAAGGGTGTTGAATTTTGTCAAAAGCTTTTTCTGCATCTATTGAAAGAATCATGTGGTCTTTGTTTTTGCTTCTGTTTATGTGGTGAATTGCATTTATAGATTTACGTATGTTGAACCATCCCTGCATCCCTGGGATGAAGCCCACTTGGTCGTGATGGATTATTTTTTTGATAAGCGTCTGGATTCGGTTAGCTAAGATTTTGTTGAAAATTTTTGCATCTATATTCATTAGGGATATTGGTCTGTAGTTTTCTTTTTTTGTTGCATCCTTTCCTGGTTTTGGTATCAGAGTAATATTCGCTTCATAAAAGGTGTCGGGAGGTTTCCAATCTTCTCGATGTTGTGGAATAGTTTCTGCAAGATAGGTACTAGTTCTTCTTTGTAAGTGTGGTAAAATTCAGGTGTGAAGCCATCTGGACCGGACTTTTCTTTTTAGGGAGATTTTTAATTGCTGTTTCTATTTCAGCTGTTGAGATTGGTCTGTTCAGGGAATCTATTTCTTCCTGGTTGAGCCTAGGGAGGCTGTGTGTTTCTAGAAATTTGTCCATTTCCACCACATTTTCCAATTTGTGTGAATAAAAATTTTTGTAGTACTCATAAATTATATATTGTATCTCTTTGGGATCAGTTGTGATGTCTCCTTTTTTGTTCCTGATGGAGCTTATTAGAGATTTCTCTTTTCTGCTTTTTGTTAGCTTAGCCAATGGCGTGTCAATTTTGTTTATTTTTACAAAGAACCAACTTTTTGTTTTGTTAATCTCCTGAATAGCTTCCCTGATTTCAATTTCGTTTAATTCTGATTTGATCTTGTTGATTTCACTTCTTCTGCTGGTTTTGGGGCTGGTCTGTTCT